TCCAACGTACGAGATACTCAACGTGGGGAGGGTTGTCGTCGGTGACTCAGCGACCAATGATGTCTGAAACGAGGAACTCCTCGTGGCCGTCCACCATGAGGGGTGAAGGGCGCTCGTATGGTCGTCCAGCGAAACGCTCAGACGGTCTGCGGTAAGGACACAGTAACGAGACGTGGTAGACATCATGCACACGAACCTGGCGTAGGTAGTCGGGCAGCTTCACACGAAAGTTGACCGGGCTAGATGCCGTATCAGAACCGACGGCCTGGAGGATGCGGCATGGGCCAAAGAAGCAACGCCGGAACTTGCGAAGCATGTTCGCTTCGAGCTGTAAGTGGCGGGCGTCGATAAGCACATCATCACCAACTTTGAATGGCTGGTCCATCCTCGATCGGTTCGCACGTGCTGCCATGCGAGTCTGGGAAGCGGCTATGTGCTCATGTGCGGTATTCATGATCGATGTCATGTGTGCAACCCAATCATCCAGCGCGGGACAACTCGTGTCGGGGTGCATCTGTGACGGGCGAAGAAAGTCCACGGGAACACGAGGGTGATAGCCGAGGTCGGAATAGTAAGGCGACATCCCCGTGGCTGGCGAGATGGCGTGGTTGTAGGTTATCTCCGCGTGGGCAAGATGAAGATCCCACTGCTGGTCGTCACGAACAATCTTTCGAAGAATATCTCCGAGAGTCCTGTTCGTGATCTCGGTCTGACCATCAGTCTGAGGATGGTAAGACGAGGAGAAGTGGAGCTGAGTGCCGTATACCTCGAGGAGCCGTCGCCAGAATCGGCTGGTAAAGCGCGGGTCACGGTCAGATATGATGCTCAGAGGTAAGCCGTGGTCACGCACGACTCGGTCAAACACGATTTCGGCGGCCTCACGTGCACTGATGGCATAGCGGCACGGAACAAAGCGTGCACGCTTCGTGAAGCGGTCGACGACGACCAGGATAGCATCATGATCGCAAGGGGTCGGAGGACGAAGAGGACCGATAAAGTCCATCGAGATGGACTGCCAACGACCCTCAGGGATAGGAAGAGGCTGGAGCAAACCATAAGGCAGGTGGTTCGCACTGTTCACCTCTTGACAGGTGGGACACTCGGCGACGTAGTCCTTCACAAAGTCCTTGCGCTTCGGCCARACRTAYAGGCGGSTCACACGAGCCAACGTCTTGTGGAAGCCCATATRACCGGCRGCYGCCTGGTCATGGAACTCTGCTACTGCTCGGACACGTAGCTGTCCAGTGGAGGGAACGCAAATACGGGGCTCTCTGGTGCCCTGTGAACCGTGCCAGTACATRAGACCGTTGTCCCCGAGAGAGTAGTTCGGGACGGTCTTGCCACTCCGAAGGGTCGCGTGGATGTCGCGATAGTCGGGGCAGTGGCGGTACTGAGTGCGAAACTCGTCGATCACCGAGTGGTGGACGGTGGTGACCGAGATGGAAGAGAGCTGGATGTGCTCCTGGTCGTGGTCAGGGCACCGGGATAGGGCATCTGCGACCCGATTAGTCTCACCCTTGATGTGCTCAGTGGTGAAACTAAACTCGGATAGGTCGCGCCACCAGCGAGCCTGTCGAGGAGTGAGCTTCGGCTTAGTTAGAAATGCCTGGACAACAGAGTTATCCGTGCGCACCGTGAATGGTGCCCCGTGCAGGTAGTGACGCCAGTGCCGAGCGGCATAAACTACTGCGAGAACCTCACGTTCATCAGCAGTGTAGTTTATCTCGGCGGGCAGGAGCTGACGGGAGTAGAAGGCTATCGGACAATCACCTGAGCGAGTCTCGACAGTGCCGTCTTTGGCGATGGTAGGAGAATAGTCAATAAGAGGCTCATCAGTAGCTGGACGAGTAGGCGTCAGTCGGGAAGCAGTGGTAGGGGTAGGTGGTGGGAAGCGAGGGATACGAGGATGAGACGAATCAGGAGAGGAGGGGAAAACCTGAGAAAGCACTGCTCCTACAGTAAAGTCTGACGCATCGGTGGTAAGGATAAAAGGGCGATCAAAATCGGGTAGGTTAAGAACCGGTGCGCATGTCACCGCCTTCTTGAGGGTGCGGAAGACGTCCTCGTGGAGGGGTGTCCAAGCCCAGGGTGGGTTCTTCCGGAGGAGGGTGGAGGTAAGGACGTAGGAATACCTAGCGTATCCCCGGATGAAGTTACTATAGTAGATAGTCAGGCCTAGGAAGCTGCGAAGCTGCTTGGCGGATGTGGGGGCGGGCCACTCCGCAATAGTAGTGATCTTCGCGTCGTCCATGTGGAGACCCTGGTCAGACACGTAGTGTCCTAAGAAATCCACATTGTGCCGGGCAAAGCGGCACTTGCTCAGCTTGGCGTAGAAGCCATGTCTGCGCAAGCGGTCAAGGACGTCGCGGAGGTGTCTGAGATGCTCCTCAAGGGTA